TCCTAAAAGTGCCAAGTCATTGTTGCCCCCTGTGATTGCGTGATCAAGTCAACTCTCGACCGGCTTATCTCCAAGGTTCCAAAGCTATTGTAGAACACAACTCACGGTATTGGTGGAATTTGAGCTGTCATTTGCCGACATCCGACAATGAATATTGTCGTAGAAGGATTCGAGTGGAACCGTACTTTAAGTTTGTAATGTGGGTTGTCATGATGCCTCACTCTGATGAGAGACACGATGTGTGGCTAGCCCGGGAAACCGGCATCTCGAGGACTTCTGCTTCGCGTACCACTAAATAGGAACGGTAAGTGTATTTTTATATTTGAAGACGTCATAATCCTGAATTTCGCATCATTCTTATGCGTTTGAACTGACATCTTCAGTGTCTCTTGCGAGACAACACTTCGTTGTCTTGTGCAACTCCAAGCTACTTCGCAGGCTGCATCTGATCCTCTCGTCCTCAACAAGCCCAGCTTCAACTCTTGGTCATTTGGCTCACAACAATGGCGCCAAGGAATGTTCTCTTGCTCGTCGCAGACGACTTGGGTAAACAGCTTGGCTGCTACGGCTGCACTTATATCAAAACACCAAACATCGACAAACTCGCCGCCGATGGCACCAGATTCGACAATGCTTTTGCAAGCACCGCATCCTGTAGTGGAAGTCGCTCAACCATTTACACCGGCCTTCATACTCACCAGAACGGTCAGTACGGACTCAACAGCGGCAAGCACCACTTCATGACGTTTGATCACATCGAGTCCGGTCCTGCTCTGCTCGCCAAGAACGGGGTTCGCACCGGAATCATCGGCAAGGTCCATGTCGGGCCTGATGCCGTGTATCCCTGGGAGTGGCGGGCCGAGAGCTTGACGCGAGATGTGTGGTGGTCCTCTCAGCGTGCGGCAGAGTTCTTCAGTGCTTCCCAAGAAGATGGTCGGCCGTTTGTACTCACAGTCGGATATCATGATCCTCACCGCGACCGCACACGTGGAGGTTTCGGCAATGATGAACCTGTCGATGAGAGAATTAAGAGTATTACGTACAGACCGGAGGACATGATCGTTCCTGGATTTCTGTCTGATACTCCCGGTGTACGACAAGAGCTTGCAAGTTACGCAGAAGCCATCAGCCGTCTAGACCAAGGCGTCGGCATGATTCTTCATGAGCTAGAAGAGTCAGGTTTTGCGAAAGATACTCTGGTCATTTTCATGAGCGACAATGGCCCTCCGTTCTTGAACTCTAAGACCACATTATATGATGCTGGCATTCGCCTTCCTCTCATTGCCAGACTCCCAGACTCAGTTTCATCCGTCAACTCGAATCTTGTATCTTATGTAGACGTTCTCCCTACAATCTTGGACTGGATCTTGGGCGATGACTCAGGCGAAGCCAAATCACAGCTTGCCGGTCGCTCATTCTTCGACATCGTCAACGAGAACCACGATCTCGCCGACTGGGATCATGTCTTTGGCTCTCACACATTCCACGAGTCCACCAACTATTGGCCAACACGTTACATCAGAACCAGGCGTTACAAGTATCACCGCAATATTGCCTGGAGGCTTGACTTTCCCTTCGCCAACGACATCTACGGGTCGCTGACATGGGAAGATATTCGAAACGCGGATCAGAATCCAAAAATGATCGGCGAGAGACAACTCAAGGACTACTTCTTCCGCCCTGCAGAAGAATTGTATGATTTGGTAAACGATCCCAACGAAGTCAAAAACTTGGCAAAGAATCCGGATTATCAAGATTTGCTGAAGGAGCTGCAAACGAGATTGGAAGACTGGCAGAGGAGGACGAACGACCCATGGTTGTTTCGAGACGGCATATCGGTTCTCCTCAACAAGCACCATCTTGACGCTGGTCTCGAAGTGCCTGATAAATGGGACCTTGATGTTGAGCACCCCGAGACAAATGGCAACAATGTACAGAAATATCGAAACCAGCCGTTTGGTGTCACGGGCCCTAGATCCTGACAGAATTTCGTTGTCATCCAATAAAAGCCGTGATGCAAACTTTTCAATCGATTTTCTGATATTGTTTCTTCTTAACAATATGTTCTTGGCAAAGGGCACGGCTCATTGAGGCTTGGCAGCTGATGCATCGAGAGACATACCCTGCGACATAAGTCCTGGCAAGTTGTCCCATTTCATGCAGGCTTCTGTAAGACAGGAGATATTCCAGGCGAAACGCGGAATTCCCCATCAGCATTTCTCACCCAGACCTGGAAGCAGTGCTCACTGAAGTGAAAGAGCCCCGGCTTGATCCCTGGCAAAGGGATATTGAAGGTGACATCGGCGCAGATCTTGTACCATACAGCTGGTATCCCAGGGACGAGAAATGCCATTCTCTAAACAGCCTAGCATACCGTTATCACCTGAAATCTGAATCCAGCGCGAAGGATGAGGCACATACGAAAGCAATTACCAAAGGTCTCGATGCTCATACAAGTTGAAAGGTTTGTGGTTGGTCAGATGTTCCCGACCACGCGGTTCGCCAAGATGAAAAGAGACAATCTCCCGAGCCCTGCCAAGGACTTAATTGTTTGTGGCAGACAAGGGTGCCTGAAGGATTGCTAGGTCGGTATGTTCACCATTTTTCCCCATTATGTCGTGATGGCTTGCGGATGATCATTGCCGAAAGACCTACCAAAAGCTTATCTTCACAATAAGGTCATGGCAGGGCATGGGTTTTGCACCTTGACAAGGGAATGTAATGATACGAGCGGTTATTTCCAGTAAGGAAATGTACATGAAGATGGAAATCACGTCGAGTTGGTTGTCGATGGTGTGCGACCTCGGCGTTCATTGTGCCGCTTTTCGCAAAATGTCACAGCGATCCAACACCAGGTATATCAATCCTTCGAGAATCCAGCGATAGAGATGATTTTGGAAAGAGTAGGCCCCTATAACCTTCATTAGCAAGTTTTCGGATCAGCTGACTCGTTCCCTAAGCTGCAACCATGACTTCGCAGAAGCCTCCAGTCATTGAAGTCCCCTCAGACGGGGAGAGGGTCTCATCAGGTGTGCACGACATCGATACGAAGACCCCCTCTTTCGAGATTGACTCGCCCAAAGACGAGGTCAGCGACTTGGCCGAACCCCAGGATACAACCAAAAACGTCGGATTTTGGGAAGCACTCACCCGCCGCAATACGCCGCGAGATCTCGATGCCATCGCAACAGAGCGAAGCGTGTTCGACGATCCCAGCTTGGCGCCCTTCTACCAGCCCCCTTCAGAGTACGAGAACGTCCATCGCTTTGATCCGCAGGAGCGATGGACGCATCGCGAAGAACGTTCTGTCCGCCGAAAGACAGACTTCAGGATCTTTGCCTGGATTTTGGTCATGTTCTTCGGCCTCAATATCGACAGAGGCAATCTCGGCAATGCTGCGGCAGATAATCTCCTCAAAGACCTGCATATCAACACCAACGACTACAATAACGCCCAGAACATGTATCGTATCGGATTTCTGATCGCCGAAGTTCCGTCTCAAATGATTGGAAAACGGCTTGGACCTGATCGATGGATCCCCGTTCAGATTATGCTCTGGAGTCTGGCGTCCGGAGGTCAGTTCTTCATGCATAACCGGGCCGGCTTCTTTGCCTGCCGGTTCTTTATCGGTCTCTTCATGGGTGGCTTCATTCCGGACTCCATTCTGTACCTGTCTTACTTTTACAAGAAGACTGAGATGCCCATTCGCCTGGCTCTCTTCTGGTTCGTCGACTCTATGTCTGGTGTCATAGCATCCTTCATGGCCTATGGAATCCTGCACTTGCGCGGCGTTGCAGGAAAGGAAGGATGGCGATGGCTCTTCCTGATCGAGGCTCTTGTTAGTTTTGTCATTGGCGCCGCCAGCTTTCTCTTCCTAGTCCCCGGCCCGACGCAGACGAAAACATGGTGGAACCCAGAGGGCTACTTCAACGAGCGCGAGGAGAAAATCATCGTCAACCGGGTTCTCCGTGATGACCCTTCCAAGAGCGACATGCATAACCGAGAATCGCTGTCTCTGGGCATGCTCTGGAAGAGTCTGAAGGACTATGACCTGTGGCCGGTGTACCTCATTGGCATTCTCTTTGAAATTCCCACTGCCCCGCCAAAGACGTACCTCACGCTGTCTCTCAAGGCTCTTGGCTTCAGCACCTTCAACGTCACTCTGCTCGCCATCCCCGTCACTGTCTTCGCCGCGGTGAACATGCTGTGGATTACGTTTCTCACTGAGAGATTCCATCAGATCGCCATCATCGGTCTGCTCTCACAGGTATGGGTATTGCCGCTGCTCATCGTCGAATACACCTCCATCGAGAGCCTGTCGCCATGGGCGCAGTACGCCGTTACGTTTATGATTCTCGGCCAGCCGTCTACGCATGCCGCGCACGTCGGATGGTGTTCCAGACTTTCGAACGCCGTTAGGACGAGAGCTATCAGTGCTGCGCTCTACAACATCACCATTCAGCTGTCCGGAATCGCCTCGTCGAACATCTATCGTGAGGATGATAAGCCTCATTACCACAGAGGAAACAAGAATTTGATTGCAATCACTGTGGCAACGATATTTGCGTATGCTTTCGCCAAGACCTACTACACGCTTCGCAACAAGTCCAAGAGGGCAAAATGGAATAGCATGTCAGACCAGGAGAAGGCGGCGTACCTGGCTAACACTAGCGATGAAGGAAATAAGCGTTTAAATTTCTTCTTCGATAGCTAAGTCTCGACGGTTATTCGCCATCACATCATAGCTTTCGCACAAACGGTTCGAGCACGGAATGTGCACGAAGACGTAATGCTATCATTGATATTGAATACTTATCTCACTCGATAGTACCTACTGAGTTCCCCTGTTGTGCAATTACAAACAATTCTTCACCCCGCAATAAGACGTAAACTCTTGATCCGTACTATTATTTGATAACTCATCAAATTGATTGAATCCATCACGCCAACGCCAAATACACTACCATAATTCGTAAAGTCTAAGTCCTTTTTTTGGGAATCTAGTGCGCCTCAACCTCCTCCAACTGCCTCCTCCAAACCTTGACGGGCATTTCTCCGAGCAACCAGTTCATCGTCTCCTCACGCGCCATCTCGAAGTCCCGCGGCAGAGCAAACTCGTACCTGTGCACAACCGACGCCAAGAGCACAGCCTGCTCCAGGTAGGAAATGTTGCGACCGATGCACCCTCTCGCACCGGCGGAGAAGGCCAAGAAGTACGGCTGCAGCTCCTTGCCCTTGTCACCGAGCCACCTGTCGGGCACATACTTGTCGGCGTCGGGGAAAACGGTCTCATCGCGGTGGGCGACGACACCGGACATGCTGACAGTAGTATTGCCTGGCACCCACTCGCCCATGACGTACATGCCTTCGGGAGGTGTCTTGCGAGGCAGGCCCTGCGGCGTTGGGGGGAACAGGCGGAGGGACTCGTCGAGGCAAGCGCGGAGGTAGGGGAGGTGCTTAACCTTGTCGTAAGGGGCGACAATCTCATCTGCGTCGAGGACGCTGTCGACTTCCTCGCGGAGGAGCTGTAGGTATTTCGGGTTCTTGAGGAGCTGGTAGAGCACGTTTGTGACGGCGATGGCGGTGGTCACGCTGCCAGCGTTCATCATGATGTTGATCTCGGCGACGATTTCGCCCCACTCAAGGTTGTTGGCCTCGCCGTTCTTGTTCTCCATCAGAGCCTGGAAGAAGTCGTCAAGCTTCTCGTCGCCCTTGTTGTAACGCTGAAGACGCTTGTGGGCGAGTTCGAGCACGATGCCGTCCCAGCCCTTGGACGCCTCGGTCATTTGGCGGTAGCGGGGGATGATGTTTGAGAGCTTGTCAATGAGCTTGTAATTTTCGTAGCTCCAGACGAGGAGGGACTGTTTCCGGGCGGTTGGGTAGAGCGAGTCACGGAGGGGAACCTCCCAGGTTGAGCCGTCTTTACGGCGGGCGAGAACACGGTCGTGGCCACGGTCGAGCAGGCCGAGACGTTCGGAGAGACCGATGTCGGCGATGGCGTCGAGAGTGAAGAAGTTACCCCATTTGCGGTAATCGACGGTCAGATCCTCTGGCTTGGGGAACATTTGGCCCTTGGGAAGAGGGTCGGTGCAGCGCTGGTCGAGCTGCTTGAAGAGTCTCTCGACCTTGTCTGCGACCTTGTGTTCCCATCCCTCGAGGTTCTTCAAGGCGTAGGCGGACGACAAGACCTTGCGCTTCTTTGCGTGGTCATGTTTGTCGACCACATCGGCGAGGTGGTAGTGGGATCCGGCCGTGAGGACGTAAGACTCGTCCTTGATGCAAGGGGTTCCATGACCGTAGATGTCCTTGATGGCGCGGACATCGCTGAAGGAGAGGGTATTGGGACCAGTGCGGAGGATCGGGCCCTTTTCCCGGTGGAGGTTCACGAGATGAGTTGATCGAGCACCGGTGCGGGCGAGGATCATGAAGGGGATGTTGTATACGCCGGAAAATGTACTGAGGTTCTCAAACTTTCTCATGCCTGAGAATTATAGTTAGTGGCTGCAAGAGATGGGTCTAAGCCCGAAGAATGCTCACCTTTTGAGTCCTTGAAGTACACAAATAATGGGTAAACGATAAAATAAGACAAGACAACTAAGAGAAATCCCGCGGCGTAAGGCGCCTGGGAGAATGCAGAAAAGGTTTCGAGAGCCATGTTGCTAGCTAATTCCCGAAAGATCTTGTGGGATGGAAAAGGCAAACAATGGGTTAGAAGGATGCAGAGCTTTGGATCACGGTCTACTCCATGCTGCTGGAAGAGAGGAAGTCTTCTTCAACTAAATAAGCATCGGCGCAGTGGAACACTAATCAGCCACAGAAGTCACGAGAATGGATAAAATCGACCGTGAACCAATGCCCACTTGGTTTGGTCTGGTTTTCGAGAAAGGAAAATCTCGCCGCGACATCGCATTCGCTCGCGGCCCGCAACCGATAATCCATCCCTCCACTAGCTACGACATATTCTCCGCACCTCTGCACGTCACAAACTTCAACCTGCCCCCCTCTTTCGTTTGAGCTGTCAATAAGAATAGCTCAGTAGACTTTCAGAGAATCCCGAGTAGGAAAGAGGGGCGCGGAGCCAGGGACGGCGGGCGGGTTTTGCCCAGGGCTGGGACAGAGACGGGATTAACTCGCTCAGACCAAGACAAGCAAAGGCCAAGTCCCGCGGGGAAAACGCAATGTGCAAAGAACGCACGGCTGATGTGTGACTTTAGTTCTGCACCGTAGTGACAGATCTTGGGGTTATCTCGGGGTCCGTCACATACCTTTCACAGAATCCCTACGCGGGGGAGATGAAATCTTTCTGCTGGGCTGGACCCGCGATCTGAGGGGTTCTCGTCTTGATGCGGTAACTTTCACCGCGGGGGAGACCTCAAAGTCGAAATGGGGCAGGCCAAGAGACGCTCGGTGTTCCAGCCGATGATGGAGGAGGCATCAAGAGGCTGGGGCGAAGTATGGGGAAATACGGGGTCCTCTTCGGTAATCTCGCAGTTTGTTGGATAGACATCTCGATCCCGCGGGATAAGTCGCCTATCTTAGTTTAGACTGCATCACATCGCACCTTGTCAGCCGTGCCAGCTTGCTTCTTCGTGTTCCCTCCCCGCGGGGAAGTGGATTCGTTCCCCAACTTTCTCTGTCCCAAAATCTGAGTCCGTCTCAAGTTGGCAATGCTCCCCGCACCTCGTGGGGGCGGCGACTTGCCTCTAAGAATTGATTTAGGAAACTCTTTGGCGCAAGTAGGTCGAAGGCACTAGGTGTGTTGGTAGCTGCAGTTCAAATGATGTACGATTTAGGAAACTTCCACGACACTCGGAAGAAGTCTCTGGTCGCATTTAACACCTCGAAACTCGCCGTTCTCTTACCACGAGGATGGGACTTGGGCAAGCTCATTGAGATTGTATCTTATTCGACGTTGGCAGTTCAATCATCTTCATTGCGCTTCTCATTCTCATCACACCATGTCTCTTCCAGGAGCTCTGCCAGAGAGCACGCTGAAGCTCCTCAGCCAGCTCGCGCCAGGAACAGTCGCAGATACAGCCGCTCTTGCTGCTGCTGGTCTTCTGTCTGCCGCATATGTCCTGCGCGGATACGCCTGGGACAGGCCCGATCCGTACAACTATATCTGGTATGAGAAGCCTCAACAAGGCGCTGACGGCAATGCCGCAAACAAGAAGTCAAAGAACATTGCTGAGAGGCTAGAAGAGCTCGTAAGTCAAGCCGGAGCTGCTTTTCGGGCTTTATCTTTTACTGACAGTTCCATCTGCAGGGCAAAGATGTCGTCGTCTTCTGGGGCTCGCAGTCCGGCACCGCAGAGGGCTTCGCGAATCGCCTCGCTCGCGAGCTGCACCAGCGCTTCCACCTCAACACCATGTCAGCAGACCTCTCAGACTACGATGCCGATACAATCACACAGATTCCTCAAACCAAGCTGGCAATCTTCATCATTTCCACCTATGGCGAGGGAGACCCCAGCGACAACGCCAGTTTGTTCTGGGACTGGTTGACCAAGCTGCAGGACAAGCCACTTGCATCGCTGCGCTACGCAGCCTTTGGTCTGGGCAACAGCAATTACAGATACTACAACAAGGTCGTCGACGTCGTCGATAAGGCCTTGGTAGACTGTGGCGCCTCCCGCTTGGCGCCCGTTGGCCGCGCAGACGATGCGGTTGGGGCTACAGAGGAGGATTTTCTTTCATGGAAGGATGACTTGTACAAGGTCTTCCGCGATGACTTGAAGCTGCAGGAACACGAAGTGGTCCACGAGCCGTCGCTGGCTGTCGTCGAGGACGAGTCTCTTGAGCCGCAGGATCTTCATATCGGCGAGCCGGTACACCTGATTGAGGGCTCTGGAAAGTCAACAGCTAATTCAGCCATCAAGGCCTTGAAGATCAAAAATGCGCGTAGCTTATTCTCCTCTCCTGGACGCAGCTGTCTTCACCTGGACCTCGATCTAGGAAATAGCTCCCAGATCACATACAAGACCGGTGATCATCTTGCCGTCTGGCCCATCAACCCCGACCAGGAAGTTGAGCGTCTCCTCAACGTCCTCGGTCTTTCAGAGCGCAGAAACATCCCCATCAGCATTAACGCCCTTGACGCCGCCGTTAAGGTCAGAATTCCCACGCCGACGAACGTCGAGACGTTGTTCAGATACTACCTCGAGATCTGCGCCGCAGTTCCCAGAGATGCTGTCCGAGGCCTCGCACAGTTTGCACCTTCTCCCGCATCGAAAGAAATTCTCCTGAACCTAGGACGCGACAAGGACAATTACGCCGCTTTCCTCGCATCGAATCACCTGACCATCGGCAGGCTTCTAGAATACGCAGCCAAGGCCGATGGCAACGCGACATCGTCTGCATGGTCAGGAATTCCCCTGTCATACCTCATCGAGACCCTGCCTAGATCCCAGCCGCGTTACTACTCCATTTCTTCTTCCAGCGTTGTTTCTCCCAAGGCACCCAGCATCGCCGTTGCCGTTTCTGATACCCCCTTGTCCGCTTCCCCAGCCACCGCCATTCCTGGTCTGACGACCAACTACCTTCAATCGCTCTCCGACTCGCTGCAAGACTCGCAGGCAACACAGCAGAGCGAGGGTCTCAGCTATGCCCTTTCAGGACCCTCAAACGCACTCGAAGGCGGCCTTGTCTACGCTCACATCCGCCGCTCCAAATTCAAGCTTCCTATGCTCTCATCACACCCGCTTGTCATGGTCGCTGCTGGCACCGGTCTGGCGCCGTTCCGGGCCTTTCTCATGGAGCGCCTTCGTCTGCAGTCCGTCGGTAAGGATATCGGGCAGATGATTCTCTTCTTCGGATGCCAGCGCCCCGACGATGATTTTATCTACAAGGAGGAGCTCGAGCAGATGGAGAAGGACCTCGGCGGGAAGCTCAAGATCGTGACGGCCTTCTCACGGCAAGAGGGCGTGAGGAAGACATACGTCCAGGACAGGGTGCGCGAGTTGGGCGCCGAGGTTATGGGGCTTTTGGATGAGAGTGCCAGTTTGTACATGTGCGGACGGGCGAGCATGGCCAGGGAGGTCGGAAAGACTTTGGGCGATGTTGTGAGGGCGGACAAGGGCTGGAGTGATGCCCAAGTCAAGGACTGGAGCGAAGGACTAAAGAGGAATCGTAAGTGGCAAGAAGACGTTTGGGGGTAGACGTGGCTTGCAATAATCTTCTTAGAATGAAGGGATTGGGGATTGCTATGATTTAGCGTTGCTTGCGACTCAAGAAGACTATGATAGACTTTCTGGCAAATGAACAGCTTCTCTTGTTACTTTATTTGTCTATTGCTCGCACAGCATCGTGAAACTATGATCTTTTCTACATTTCTTAACGGAGTATCCACACTCATGAAAAATCTATCAGCCGACGCCCAATGTGTGAAGTGTTGAGACTTGGACTCTTCTAGTATTCTTCGATGCAGCGCACCTTGACAGAATATTACAGGTCATCGGCTCGTGTCTTCGCAATCTGCTTTCCAGGTTAAGTTTCCGACTAAGTTTTTTGGGGTTATGTTGCATTTGGTCTTCATCATTGACCGTATTTCGCGTTTCAACTTCTTAATTTGACTTTTAAGGACATGGAGGCACGACATTTACATCCCGTGGGAACGCAATTTCAACTGATTTCGCGCCCAGCATAACTATGGCGAAGTAAGATCTGCTTTAGTGTAAGCTCACTTGAAGCACCCATGCATGTCACACACACCTCAATACTTACTTGGCGTTGAGTAACGCAGGCCGCCGCGGGACCTGCATGCCTAGCCATTCACCTGAACTTCTTCCCATGTTCTTCATGTGCAACAATCATTAGAGTAGGGGATGCGGAGTTTCAAGAAGACGCTGTGGACTTGGTTTCACGCGGGATGCGCGCGATACGAAAGATGACCTTGGATATCTGCTGCTCTTGCCGGAAAAGTGATATGAGTCCGGCGACCTCTCGGCATTTTCACTCGCAAGTCACCCAGCGACGAAGATGAATGGATCATGAACATTATTGCGGGTAGGCGCCTACGTCAACACGCATCTCATCAATACTGGGGAAGCAAAACGTGATACTTCCCCACGTTTTCATAATCCGCGGGCACCAATTTGGTTCCAAGATCCACTTTGACGTGCCGGTTTCGAAACATGACAGGCGGAGATCGGACTGGGCGCTTGAGGCTCTAGTCCCGCGACGTTAAAGTCTTGCGCTGAATCCGAGCTGAATCATGGTCAGCAGCTTGAGAAACATTCATCCGCAACTGTTCACAAGTGATCAATCCCTACCGCCTCGTTGACTATCATGCCGGCCGGCTGCGTGGAGGAACGTGGAACAAGCTTTGGCTGATGGTGTCCGCACACCATGTTCAATCCCGCGGGATATGTTGCCTCTTTGAGGGGATCATTCCCACACATGCGAGTGCCTGAGTCAGTGGAGACAGCTGCAATTGGTTAGGAACTTCAAGGCTGGGCTGCGGGCAACCTTCACTCCACCATCCCCTCTGCTCATCTACCGACGGCTCGAACCCGCGGGCTAAAGCTTCATCACTCACCACGCAGTATCCGTACGGATACACTACTCGACGTTCCGGCACTATTCGGCCGCTCGCACTCCAATCGGAATGATAACATTGATAATGAATGTCGGTAACGGAGTTCACCCCGTGGAGTAC